CAACTGCTCTATTAAGTCGACATTTTAGAATGTCAGCCTCAGTTTCCCATTTGATATCTAGTCCGCCCCATTCGTTGGTTTATTTTCATATTGTCTCACATCCTGATTACACTCACTCTCGAAACCTGTATTTTCTGTTGACTATATTTATATTTGTATACATACATCATTAAATTAAATTACTTCATCTGATTTTGTCCCATGTTCTCATTGACCATGCATATTAAAAAACTAACTGACTATTGTTCCATCCCATCCTACTTATACTTGTTCCACAATACACTTTCTCATATAATTCTACTTTGCCTTTACTGGCTGGCTGGCTATTGTATGCTTAAATTAATGGATTTATAACTGTAGAGAGAGCCTGAAGAAGAATTTATTGAAACCACAATTGTTCGCTCTAACTATTTTGTTCTGAATAAATTATGCGAATATTCAGTTTATTAGATGTTTGTCACAAAACCAACATCAATTAGACAGAGGTCATTAGAAGACCATAAGGAGAACTGGACAGGTGCTTCATTCTATTTTGAGACTTCTAAACAACACTCACCAATGACCCCTACCCCCCTAACAAGGTTCGAACCTGGAACCTTCAGGTAACGAGGCCAAGCTCTCTGGCCATTCAACCACTTTGGTCGGGTTTCAGTGACCAGTGAATTTTAAATCTGTCAACTAGTCGTGATATATCACTGCCCTCATAAGTGCCTTCAGTGGGCATTTACTTCACCTTAACATAGTGGGTCCCACTAGTAAGTAGCTTGAAGAAGGCGGCCATCCAATGGCCGTCAGTTATCTGAGTTGACAGATTTAAAATCCAGGGGTGACTGAATGGTCAACTGTCTTGATCTCGTAATCTGAGGGTTTTGAGTTCGACCCCTGATGGGGTAGTGTGTGCGTACTGATGAAGAGTCCCAAAGCAGAAGGAAACACTTGTCCAGTGCTTCCTGGTTTATCAATGTCCTCTCTAATGGTTCGTAGCGAAAATATAACAAAGGAAATAAGCTATCGCTTGAATTATTCCCCCTTATCTCTTTCAAGGCAAATTTTAATAAATAGCTTGTGTAATCGGCTTGGAATCTAATCAAAGTAACAAGATATAAAAATGATTTTATGTGGTTCGTAACCAAATTGAGATCCATTTTCTAGTTGGTGATGGATAGCATTAGGATCCTGGATGAGCATTTCGTCCAACTTTGGACTCGTTAGGTGAATGTACCTTCATCCGAAATGAGTGGTGTTGTTTCCACCGGGACTCGAACCAGCTGTCCATCGTTTCAAACACTAAAGTGTCACTGAACAGTGAGAGGCACCTACTGTGTAACGAGTATCTATCGAAATTATTTTGAATTCCCCAGTGACTGATTATATTGGACGGATATATTTAGTCTATGGTGACATGTTGGCTCATTGTACGAGCGTTTCGACGATGTCTTGAAATGAGCATGGTGGTGCTTTATCGGTAGGGAGCTAGCAGTGTAAGTGATGATTCACGTTTCATCCTGTTTGGGACTCATCTGCTGGATGCGCCTGCATGTATATGTATTAGTGTTCATATGTACACTTTCCGTAGACTTGCGAAATCTGTCCAGTACTCCTAGGTTTTCCTGAAACCAATCAGATCCCTGCAAACCAACACATGGATATCAATTTGATGCTCACTAGTGACTGGTCTTATTTAGATAGGTAATTACTTGGGTTCTAGTGGGAAATCATGACCAGTAGGGTACAGCCGGTTGGGTGTGAGGACAGATACTGACTGCCAGTGACATTCGCGCCATATCATGAATTGGCAGAAGTTGGAATTCATGGACTGGCCATTGGATAGAGTCCCAGAGGCTTAATGGTCTATGAGCTAGCTCGCCTTGTAACCAGAAGATACTGGGTTCGAACCCTAGTGGTGGGTGCCTACTACTGAAGAGTCCCAAACTGGGGAGGGAGACAGCTGTCTAGTACTGCCAGGCGGTTTTCCAGTGGTCCTCTAACCGACGTCAGTCCACGATAAAGTCCTGGAATAGTGACTTTCTGTTTCTATCTCTACTAGCACCAAACAAATCATATATTGTGATGGGAATAATTTGGGTTTCCAAAGGGAACTGTGGCGAAGTTTCATCTCCATGATCTGTGTGAATTGTAAATCTGGAAATAATTTCCAAATTGCGGAACTGATTTATGGTGTTATCAGTTGCCCAATTAACTAGTCTGAAATCCGGCTGAACGAGCTGAATCGAATTGGGTACACTGCTAGTTAGCCCGACCTCAAGTGAACCAGACAGGTAGCCTGGTGGTGTTTAGATGGCTTCAATCAAGGCTGGCTAGAAAGCACTACTTGTTTGATATGAGTGGTGTTCAACTACTTATTCTAACCAATCAGTAGTATATAGCTTTGTATAAAGTATGTCAGATGAGACTTGCTTATTCAGTAATACATAGCTATAGGAAAGTTATCCTTATATTCCTTATTTGTCTCACTTTGTCTTCTATCCAATAAACTAGCGTATAAAACATTTCTATTCTTACACATAGTGGAATTTGTTGATTGTTAAACCTATTTGAAAGATTGAGTTAGCCTTAGGTAAACGAGTTGCACAAATATAGTGGCTTGGTTTAGGATTTACCAGTCTAAATTATCTCTAACATCGATAAGATATCTAGTTATGTAGAAGAAGACTTATGTGCTGCACAGTGACATCTACTTCATTCTACTTTTATTACTTCAAGGTAAAGCCTCAGGATTGTCGGGGGTGGGTGCCTTGCGCTGTGGGTTGGCCACCCCTCCGCACACCTCTTGAAATGCTCCCATATGACCGGGCGTCTTACATAGCCTCTCCTGAGGAAGTCCTACTCACTGCCTTCACGCGGCGGAGGTGTTTCTCACCAAAGTGAGAGGGCGAAAGCGGATGCCCGGCGCTCTTCACCGGGTTGACTGTCCATTGGATGACAGTCTAGGGGAGATGGCTAAACCCTGATTCCAAACCTCCAACGACTGGCGTATGAAGCTCACTGGAGCTCACCGGCAGACGTATGGACAAGGGGCTTGTTGGATGTCCTGGATGTCTGGCCCCATTCAAAAAGGCGTATGAACCGAACTCCGGTCACCGGCTGCCAATGGATAGTGGACTCCCTACTCCACTCCTACTGCCTTGTAGGTCACACTTGGTTGTGTAAAGGCTAGACCTGCACTCTCAAACAAAAGGCCGAGCGATTCTGGGGACATCACTCGTACCCAATTCCCATGAAACTTCATGAACTCTCTTACAAACAGATCGCCGCGTCTGGGCAGTGATGATTCGAGATGTTCATGAAGCCGGCTCATCCTCCCGTAGGAGAGATAGCCGAAGTAAAGTAAAGTAAGTTAAGAAATTGAAGGCTAAATAAAAAAACAGACTCTTAACTACATGTGTCATTAATGTGGTATTGTTACAGCATGTTATGGAACAGCAAAGTAAGCAGTGCTTTGATTGCACCCTGTCTCTTTTTTTGGTGGCGATTGAATTCAATCATTCAGGTGTGCAATGTAGTCACCACGGTGCTCTCTGAATTTTTGTTAGATTGTTGGAGATAATTCTCAGGAAGCCTTCGGTATAGGTTTCACACTTATTGGTATTCGTCAGAATGGTGTATCCTTAATCTTGACAAGACTCATACCTCTTCTCGGATTCGAATCCGTGTCAGCCAGTGCTACAGTCGGAGACATTACCACTGAACTTTTGTAGGACTGTAATGGATAATTTCATTGAACATTAGGTAGTACGTAGCTAGTGTCATTCAGACTGAATTCTATCAGTCAACCGCCTAACAAAGACAATTCAGACTGCAATGTGACGGCGAGCCACCTAGTCGCAAGGATGACCACATTGTAAACTTGACTGATAGAATTCAGTCTGCACCAAACAAAGGACTAGTAGACATAATACACACCAGTTACTAGCTAGTGTCCAATCAAAGTATCCAATACGTTCCTACAAAAGTTCAGTGGTAATGTCTCTGACTGCAGTAGTGGCTGACATGGGTTCGAATCCGAGAGGGGACATCAGTTCCTTCCAGATTAAGGATACATCATTCTGATGAGTGTCAACTAGCACGAAATCTAGGTCCAAAGCATCCCGATGACTGCCTCCAACCATCTAGTAACAAAGTAAGCAATACTAACTTTAGATGTAGAGTGTTAATACATGCCGTTTCAATTATCCTATGTCTGTTCACTTCCTTTTATTATGATGTTAATTTACATGTTCTCATAAATTAGGTACCGTGAATTCAGGTTTTGAGTAATCCTGCATTGTCTGATCTGCTTATGTTGAAATGTTTGATTTTTTTGAAGCTTATACTCATCCATTATGTATTGGCTTCTGATAGGTGCTAATGACGTGAACATGCTTAGTGGAGAAGGGTGGTGGGGCGGATTTGATATGTATTATTGGATACAGGATTTCATCACGAGCTGACATTGGTTAGAGAACCATTGGAAAACCTGGGAGTACTGGACGGCTGTTTCGTCTTAGTTTGGGGCTCTTCATCAGTACGTACCCACCGGGGTTAGAACTCTGGACCTTCTGGTGGGTGCGTGTTGCCGAAGAGTCCCAAACTAGGACGAAACAGCTGTCCAGTACTCCCTGCAGGTTTTCCAATGGTTCTCTAACCAATGTCAGCTCATGATGAAATCCTGTAACCAATCAACCAAATCCCTACAAACCAATACTCGAATATTATTGGATACTTCGCCGTGTTGAAATCCTCTTCTCGTATCTCTTTTACACCGAATTATTCATTGGAACACAACTTATCATTGCTCCTCTAAAATAAGTTAGTCAATATACTACTTGTATTCGTTTATCAGTAGCACACACACATACCACATGAGTGAGTATCAAGGAGTTTAATTTCTTTGAACAGGTCAATTGTCTTGATTAAACGAAAATTTTATCGAAGAATTATATTTGTATTTTTCCAGAAAATTATCGCTTATTGTTTCTCTTTTTGCCTTTTTTTCATAGGTATACCTCCTCCTCCGAGCAAATTAATGCCGTCAAGTACAGTTTTCGATTCTAAAGGTCGTCCTCAGCTGGATGTTATTGGACCGCATTTAATAGCAGAAGGTCGATTAACAGAAGAAGCAATATTAAGGATTATCAGTGATACATCAGCTATATTAAAATCAGAAAAAACTATGCTTGATTTAGAAGCACCAATTACAAGTTAGTTAGTTAGTTATCTTGGGTTATTTCTCATTTGTGTACATATTTCAACCTTTTTTTGTTAATGTTGTTGTTGATAATTACATGTCAATAGGAATGGTCTCCTAAAACTAGAATTTTCATTGGATGGAACATGACAGCAGTGATGCGAAATTAAAGAAAGTCATTATTTATGAAGCGTAGAGTTACTTCATAACTGAATCATTGATTGCACCTTTCTTCGATTTTATTCCTTTGCATTCATCCTGGAACACAAGGCTCCAAGTTGAAGCTATAAAGTCTCAGTAGCAGTGGTAAGGTTGTCAACATCCCTCTTTACAAGGCTTACCATCGGCATGGTGAGGGATCGAATCATGGACCACATGAGGCGTGGTTAGAGAGTATTCTACGACTGAACCATTGACGCGCACACTTAATCATCTGTGAAGTGCTTTTCAGTTTCATTTTCATAATTTTGTTTGTTTTTTGACATCAAGTTTGATAGTGGAAATGTGCATTTTATTATTTCTTTTCTTACGTTCTGAATGGTGGAAAGCAGGCCTTCAGCAGCAATTCTTCATTTCACTCGCTTCTCAGTCATCATTTTCAGCTGTTTCCAATGACTACGCATCACAAGCTTTAATATCCTCCCCCACATGATCTCTTCCATATCACTGTGGGACTCATGCTGAACTTATCGCTCCCCTTGTTGTGTTCCACTCGAATGCCTGTCGTGTATGAATGTCTCCTCGGTGGAAATGTGTACCAGGTTGAAATGTTTTTTTGGCAAACATAAGTTTTTTCAGGATCATTAACTTTAACTGTATGGAACGTGAATCATTTCATTTAGCGCATGATTCAGACGGTGGATCTTCAGTTTAGATCTTTCTCTATCTACTTAAATCTGGGAAACTGGCTAGTATCATTAATTCCAACACAATAGGTATGGTTCATAATAAGTGATATGGGAGAATTCTGCTTAGGGTAGCTGAGTTCTCAAAAAAACTAGACGAACTATACGAAGTATTTTTTTGCTGTAGTTATTAAATTAATGGTTATATATATATATATATATATATATATATCAATCCTTTCTATGTATGAGGTGCTTTTTGTTGTAAATTTTAGTTACGGACAATTTTGCATAATTGGTTAGAGGATTTCATCATGAGCTGACATCAGTTAGAGAACCATTGGAAAACTAGTACTGGAGTACTGGACAACCAGCTGTTTCGTCAGCCTAGTTTGGGACTCTTCACCAGTACGCACCCACAGGGTTTCAAACCCAGTGGCTTTATGGTCTACGAGCTCGCCTTATAGCCGGAAGATCCTGTGTTCGAACCGCTGTGTTGGGTGCGTACTGGTGAAGAGTCCCAAACTAGGCTGACGAAACAGCTGGCTCTCCAGTACTCCAGCACTGATTTTCCAATGGTTCTGTAACTGATGTCAGCTCCTGATGAAACCCTTTAACCAACCAATCAAACAAAATCCCTACAAAACCAATACTTGAAAATTTTGTATCAGTCTGTAATTGAATGTAAATCTTCTGACAAGGTTAAACTATATTTTACATAACGGTAGTTTTTGATATATTCTCTTCAACAGAATTGTAGTCTTTATTATTTTGTACATTACCAGAATTCGTGAATAGTTTCAATATTATTCAGTGTGAATGATCAAATTAGCTTGTCACTTAATTAGGAAGATCCTGGATCCCCTATCCCTAATGGTATCATGGGTGCACACTGCTGAAGAGTCCCAAACTAAGACAGAACAACTGACATCCGGCGCTCTCTAGCTTCCAGTGATTCTCTAATTACTCTTGATTTGTGATGAGACCTACCTTATGTGTGGTTAGCTTGTCAAAGCAATATTGTCTTCCTCATGATAAGTTTATGTCACTTGGTTGGTTTCTAAGGTTTGAGGAATTGTGTGATGTTATTTGGCATTTCATCCTATTTGTGGCTCGTCAGGTGGGTGTACCTGCATCCCAAGTAGGTGGTGATGTTGCTCTCACGGAAATTGAAATCCTGTGCCCATCATTGTGTAAATGTCAAGGTTTTATTCACTAGACCAATGGGTTACGAGTGCCACCTATTATACAATGTGTGTCACTTGTTTTTTGCCTAATTTCTTATGTATTTCCCGTTGGCTGGTCACTGTTGACATGACGCTTCGATGATGTCTTAGCGTTGTCTTAATGTTATGCGACTGATCGGTGGCAAACAGTAGAATTCGGACTGAGAATTTCAATCCGTTTTAGCCAATCATAGCCTGTTTCAGGTAGGTGTCTTATTCACCGCCTTCACGCCACCATGGCAATGTTCCTCACAAAAGTGAAAGAGTGATCGCAAACGTCTGGCGGACATGTTGAACAGCCTAGGACGGCTGGAAAACCCTTATTCCAAACCTGTGGTGTACATGGCCTTCACAATCCTAACGGATAGAAAAGTCGGTCGGTCGGTCTGTTTTCGACATAGAACTTTGCAGCAATGTGCGGCAGTTCAAGTCGCCACACTCGCTCCATGTAGTACACAAAGCAACAGAAGAAAGTAGAAGAAATGCATATTAGAGACAGTAAACAGAGGTGTGAGAGAAAAAGAAATAGTAATAACGAAGAACAATATAGTTTCATTGGAAATCATGAGTCACAAGGAGTGGATGCATCTGTGCTAGCCATTGAGAACGATTTTGAGCCATATCACCAATTGTTTCCAACCATTGGTTTTTACCATCCCGAGGACCCCAAATAGGAAGTCTACACCTTTCTACGTGGCTTAGACTAACTGTTGTGGATTTCATTGACTGGTGCCATGTTTTGGTTTGACCGCCGGTAGATCTTTTCCAGCCTGGCCCTATATTAGTTAACAGATAGAAAGGAGTATAAGGCTGTTTCAGTCACTGGAAACCATGGGGATAATAATAAGCTTTATTGGGAAACAGTACTTGTGATACAGAATGGAATTCTCAGCATTTCACTGCAGTATTGCATCCAGTTTGTACATTAACAATAAATAAAATTCTACATAGAATATGGGTAGTCTCAGTTAATTTTGACAACAACATATTAGCATATCGGTAGCAAAGGCAAAAGTGAACAGAATGTTTGAAGGTGTTAGGAAAGTAGATACCAGCATATTTACTGGCGTAAGAGGTAACAAAAAGGTCGAGATATACAGAGTGTGAAAGAACGAAGGAGAATATTTGAAGTAGAGTTTGTAAGGAAGAAAGAAACAAAGCAGCACATAACAGAAAAAGAGAGAGAGAGAAAAGGAAAAGAAAGAAAGAAAACGTTGTACCTATGAATGGTATGAGTTGGAAAGACGAGATCCAATTGTTCTACTGGTTATTTAGTAAGTTATAAGTTCCACGCCAAATGCTTTCTTTATCGCACAGAACACAAGCTGAGTAGGGTATGGTTGAGTTTTTGTACTTGCTAGTGCGAGCATATAGTTCTCTATATAGGCTTCTGGTCCTGCTTGATGGGATACAAGGGGAGAGTTGTGAGTGAAGAGGGTGGTGTGAGTTAGATAAAATGGATTTAGCCCATTTTTCACATGAGTCTATGTGCCTGTCAACCAGAATATTAACAAGCTGGTTAAGTGTCACGTTGCTTACCCTGCTGACAACCTTTCACATCCTGCGTAATAAGGTATAGTCCTTCTTCAGTAGCCCTGGAAAAACTAAGGCGGAACAATAGAGAATAATAGGCAGAATGCGAGAGTTAACGAATTGTAGGAGTAAGGGTTGGGTTATACCAGAATGTTTTAACTTCTTGATGTAGAAGGTAGGACGGAATATTTTCTTAGAAATCATCAAGATATGAAACGACCAGGAGAGATCAGCACACAGAATGACGTCAAGATATTTAATTTCCGACTTGATTTCTATTTCAGTGCCATCTGTGTTGCACACCTCGTGAGTGCTAACCAGTTTGTTTAAGTCAGATTTATGCCTAAAAGTGAAATTGACTGTTTGACATTTAGAGGGATTTAAGGTAAGACCGTTTTCCTTGGACCACTGGTTGATTTCTGATAAAAAGCCATTTAGTTTGGAGGAGTCACTTTGACATTTGACAGGCAAAGATACAGTCAGATCATCAGCATATTTAACAAAATTAATGTCATTTGAAGATGGTAAGTCATGTAGAAAGAAAGAAAGAAAGAAAGAAAAGAGAAGTGGGAGGAGAGTACAGCACCTTGGGGGACACCAGCTTCAGTGAGCATAGCAGAGGATGATTTACCTTTGTATACAGTGTACTGCATTCTGTTTGAGAAATAAGAATGCAACCAGTTTGTGACCCAGGACTCAGTTTGTGTCATCGAGAGCTCATCGAGAAACGTGCAACGAACGTATTTGGCACCTTTATCTAATGATGCGACGATACTGTTGTGTCAAACGGCTGCAGCGTCTAAAGTGCTTTTATCTAGCCTGTCTATATGCAAATTGTTTGGAGTCTTCAAAACTTTTAAGGGAGGGTTCACGTTTTAAGAAGTACTAGTTTTTCCATCAGCTTTAGAAACGGGGAAGTAATGGCAATGGGTCTAAATTTTACATTCTTGCTATTTCCAGGTTTAGGGACAGGGAGCTACTGAAGCTACTCCACTTATTCAAGTCAAAGATTCTCTGTCGTCTGTTCCCTTAATATAACCGTCCAGCCCTCGCACAAACTGTGAGACAGCAATATGTGTATATCACATCATCTCTTAGTCCCTAAAATCTACCACATTTGTGTCTGGGTGAAATAATAAGGGAGACTTCACTCCCAATCACTATCAACGGGAGGGATTTGAAAGAGGTTACTTCATTCACTTATCTAGGGAGCATTGTCTCAACTACAGGAGGAACGGACGACGATGTCAAATCGAGAATCGGGAAGGCGAAAAACACATTCATCAACCTGAAACCAATCTGGAAATCTTCCGCTGTCACTCAGCATCAACAACAAAATTCGAATTTTCAATACAAACGTGAAGTCAGTCAGTTCTTCTATACGGATCAGAAACTTGACGGCGGGTCAC